TGAACCMTCAGTCTCCCAGTCTGTGGATAAAGCACACTGTTCGGATCCGCAACCGAGTGATGCATGGTTGGAGCTGGCGGTGACTCCTCAGAAGGCGGAGGGGATATCGCTTGATCCCAGGATCCCCAGGATCCCCATTTGGCATGTGTTTGTTCAAAAGTGGCTGTTGCCTCTGCTGGCAGTTCGACATGCCACTTGTTGGCAGAAATCTCTAGAATCCTAAGGGTGCGCCGTGCGCAGAGCCAGCTCTCACCCATCTCTTCGAGATGCCGTAGACCATGGATGACATCTCGCTGAGCATTCTTCTCTGGAAGGTTGAGCAGATGCACAGTCAACGCGGTATGGGCCATATAGACTGCAACGTTGCAGATTTGCTTGAACCCGTAGGTCCGTTTGTACATCCTCAGCAACTTCGAGATTGCCGAAGCAGCCTGCGTGCACAGTTTCCGGGGAGACACATGTTGAGGAAGCGGCGAATTGACTTTGGTGTATTTGAGGAATGGTCGATAAAGGTGTATGAGGAGGAGCTGGTAGAACATACTTTCGGTCTGTCAGTGAAACAGCTTAATGCATCAGCAGCCCAAACCATGAAACTTACTGCATCAAAAGTGCCTGAGGGAGCTGCCCCTCTTGTGGTCTGAGTTCCTTTGGTAGATCCTTCTTCCAGGCTTCGAGCCGGGTGTGAAGATCGCTGAGTTTCTTGAGTTCCGCCTGCTTAGTGGAAGGTTTCTCCTTCGGAGTCGGGTCATAAAAGAACACAAGCAGATCACCATTGATCTCGCACAGCCGGAAGATCTGAGAAGCAACAGCTCGAATTCGCGACGGCTGAGTGTGCTCACGACCTACTCCGGTGTCCATGTATGGGGACCATAGTTCAGCTTCCTCGTTAGGCAATATATCCACTTTCGGCACGCTAATGCTAGATCCCATCAATTGGGGCTGTCGACCAAGGTAATTAGACCAGCACCTGCAAATGTTAGACCTTATCAAAAATTCTCTAGAGGACTTGTATGGTCACGTACTTATCGAACAAAAAGCAACCCCAGAATGTTATCCGGCGTGCATCCACTTCTTCCTCGCCCAGATCCCGCGCCCCGAGACTGGTGGAGTCAAAGTTGAGGCCCAAGTCGAAGGCCATCCGGAAGCTCATCCCACTGTAGACCCAGCCCTTGCTTTCGCGGCCACAACCCGCCTCACGCACCGACAGCAGAGCCAGCGCTTGTACGGTGCATAGCTTTGCATTCGCATGTTCATCGTTCTCGAAGAATAACCTCTTGGCCTCTTTGAAGAAATGATCGCCCGCTGTGGCAGAATTCTCTGGATCTTCCCGAGCGCCTTCCCAGGAGCTGAAATGACAACCGAGCGCTAGCATTGCATTGACGAGCAAAGTCGAACAGTACTGGCTGGGCACGCCACGTATATAGTCCCGATAGAATAAATCCTTGGAGAGAGTCGTGAAGAACGGATAATGCCAGGTAAAGTACATTGTCATGAGATGACTGATCAGTCTCTCATCCTGGGTAACACGAGTCCACTGTGTGACGGAATAATCACCGTGGCCCTGGTCCAGTTCCTGGGCACCTAGAGATGGTCTAAATTCGTTCAGCTCCGACCCGGGAGGCAAAAAAATGAGATTCGACGTGCCCCCAATGAACTTGCGGGAGCCGTCCAAAACAAGCTCACTCATCTTCCCTGCTAACTCCGACTCGAACTGATCAGCCTGCGTTAGGGCTTCATCCCCGCTAGCTGCTGTGTCCTCGGGGCCCGCCGTGGAACCTCTCCCTTGGCCGAGGATCGATTGTGCAACATCTTCGAGATTATCGCAGGACCGGATCTGGCGAACCAGATCGAATGCATCCTCCTCTTCGTAATTCAGTAAGGCTTGTATCAACGTCAACAGGGTTGTGTTCTTCGTTCTCAGCGCGTCGGTGTCCTTCTTATATACACCTTTCCTGCGATGGTCGGAATTCGGATCGTAGACGCCTGGGATATTGTGAGCCTCATCTGTGACACCAACAGGGAAGGGCAGTACTATACAGGCTGTATGATAGACAGAGGAACAGGCTGCGCAACTCGGTAGGTTTCCATCGCACTAAACCACACCATCAGCTACAAAGAGCATGTACAGCATTTGGAGGCGGTCGTACCTTGGATTTCCTCCTGCGGCATGCAATACATGCCGTACTGACACAACGTCGTTTAGAAGCCGGGCCATTATCCGATTTTGTACCTTGGGTTCTGGTCGAAGCTTTCCCTCGAGACCCTGTCAGGGTGGGCGTGGCGTCCATCTCTTGCGACTTCTCCGCGGAGCTGTCTTCCATCGCTGTCAGGTCCACCCAGGAGTGTTCGGAGGAAGCGTCAAAACAGGGCGAAGCATGCTTCTCGAGGGGGGAAAGAGCGGGTCGGGCTGCTGGAGAGGGAACCCTGAAGGCCCCTGCACAGAATGGGTGGAGGGGAAGCGCGGGTCGAGGGTACCGGCATAAGCTCGACAGCCAGAGTAGCGAATCTGAGGCCGTGGTAGAGGCATTAGTTAGGCAAGTGCGCAGAGCTAGGACGGTACTATTGGCAATGTCGCAGAAGGAGCTGCTTAGTGCAGAGGATGGGTGTTGCGCAATCGGAGGATTTTAGGATGTCAAGAGATGCATGTTGGGGGCGACTCACAGATCAGTCAGTCAGTCAAGCCCAGATCGAACCACAAAAAGAAATAGGCTACCCCGCGACGTGCAGGAATGGATTGACGAAACGACCCGCAAGTGGAGGCGACGGCTGCTCTGGTAGAAGATGGAAACGGGAGGGGTTTGTACGGGGCAAAGCAATCAGCATGGAATGAAAGAAAGTCGACGGGTGATGATAAGAGGAGATGATCTGTGCAGGATGATTGGACAATGCTGGGGGAGTAAAAAGAGGAAGAGATAGTAGCGAGTCGGTGCAACTGCGCCGGCAGCTCGACGATCTGGCCCGGTTGGAATGGCGTCGATAAGCAACGGTGGATGACTAATGCCCCCGTCCACAGAACTTAGTTAAACAGTATGCAGTTAAGGAGTTACAAGAAAAGACAAATGTCAGTAGGCATCAGTCTGAGTTATAGAAGATGATGACAGACTATGCTAGATTCATTATGGGCGAATCATTCATCTTGGAGTCCTGCGTGGGAACGACTACTACTTAGTACTGTGAGATTCATATCTGCAAGAGACTCGAGATATGCTTTCTTTTTCTCTGCTCTGCCTATCAGACACATCCGATTGGAAGAAAGAATGGCATCCCACCGTCGAAGGAATGATCTGGATCGCTTTCGGTCGGCACCATCTCCATTGTGTCACATGGACCGTGATGCTTCATACAATCTGACCAGTTACAAGTAGGTGGTTACAAAGTACTGCTGGTTACATATTACTGAAAGAGGACTAGTGTGTCTGCGTGTTGGCAGTCCCCAATAAGGATGCCTGATCTATGAGGATGGCCATCGGCTTATCTACTACTACGTAGCCATGTGCTTCACCATCACTCCAAGCCCCTGTCATCCTACCCATAGGCTAACCAGTTTTACACATCATAGAACCCCTTTCGCTTCCAGAAATTGATACAGCATCTCAACACATCGACTTGCCTGACTGGACCGCCTGCTCGGCCCATTCAGAGTAATCGATCGTCCGCACGGGATACCCGGCTTAGTGGAGGAGAGTGATGGTATCCTTAACTGTGATCATCTGGGTCCGGTCGGGGGACACGATGTGGTAGTCTTGACCAAGGTTCTTGTTCCCTCAACGCAATCGACACCCAGTCGCGAAATAAGGTCATCAGTGTTACTGGAGCCAGTGACACTATCCCCGATGATGAAGCCGAACGGCAGATGGCGATCGGAAGGCCCTTCTCCTGCCTGCGGCGCGCCATCACCTCGGCTGTCCACTGGCTCTGCCTGTATCCAATGTCGTATCGCAAGGCAGGCAGGTGGAATATCAATGGACAGTCTTCAGGGATAGTAGTTCGCGTGCCTAGAATATACCCGTCAAACCGAAGACATAAATACTGGACACGTAACGGAACGGCTGCGGCGACTGAGCGCTGCAGCGTTCATAATGTTCCGTGTCCCTTTGATGCTGTCGCGGTGATGTTCCTGATACGACTCGCAGAAGTTGACCTTGGCCGTAACGACGAAGATCACACTGGCCCAATCAATCAGCTAGTTGAACCGCTCGGACCCAATCCCAAGCTGCTCGTCGCCGATATCTCCCTCCAGTATCATGATTTTCTAAGAAACTACCAACGACTTGGGAAACAGGTCGTATTTCTCCATGGCCTTTTGCACTTAAGCAGCTGCGCTTTGGCCATTTCTGACTCGAGCAATAGACGTGACATGTTTTACACCCGGTCTCTCAATGAGTGGGCGGAGGATATGCGTGCCAGAACTCTTTCCATCATGGTATAGCAAACCATTGTAGACTGTGCCATCTGGATTGGACTCCTGTCTTAGCGGAAAATCGAGTCCAGTTGAAAATTGATGGCAGAATTTAAATTGAGTGGTTGATGCAAATGGGGACTTTTTTTAATAAAAGAATAATTATGACGATGGAAAGCCTTGATGCATTCATTCTTGAGCCCTTCCTGGCAAAGAACAGGAGAGCAGCCAAGGCAAATTTGTATAATTCCCTAACATGCTGAACCAGAATCCACGGCACCTCCAAGCAACATCACCATTCCCCACGTATGCCGTGTTCTAGAGCGTTTTACAGTATTGAAGGGGATATTTTCCTATCCTGGAGATCTTTTCGCATTAATAGATGCGCTACCGGCTGGCAATGGTTTGCTCATGATTGATGAGACTCACTTAAAAGGGTATTGTTGGGCCCAACGGCTCAGGATACCTAAGTCATTTGGAACAGTAAAGGGAAACCTGTTGTTTCGATGCAGAGCTTTGGCAAAGGTCCTGGTGCCTTGGGTGGTATGTATGCGGCCTCCGTGATTGCCTAGCTTAACGTGCACCAGGGGTGGTCATGCGCGATCCTTTGATCAAGAAATACATGGCCAACTCTGTACGAGGCCTGATGTACTCAAACGGGCCTTCCTTCCCCACAATCGCCGCTATCAAAGCTTCGTTCTCCACCCTCAGCAGCGCAGACGGGAAGCAAGTAAGAACAGTAGCAACTGAACCCTTCCACTATATTCCAAGACGAAACAGAGTCTACCGTAAACAGCGCCGCCAGAGGCTACGCACAAATATTAAGCTCTTCCATCGGCTCATTCTCATGCATCCAATGCAACAGACTATCTCAAATTCCAGTGTTCTAAAGTTCCCCTCTATTGAGCATGATAAGAACGAGGAGATTTCCGTGGCCATCATCCCTATCATGAGTGAACAAGGACAATGTCACAAGCTACAGCAGAGGCTGCAGGAATACAGGTTCCGCACACATGTGGTCCTATATCCTGCTGTATCCAAGGAGGAGAAGCGTGTCCGCTTGATGCTACATGCGGATAACAAGCCGGATGAGATCAGAGGCTTTGTGCATGTGTTGATGAACTGGGGTTGGGAAAGGGTGCAGGTTGGGGCCAAGCCTGGGTCTCGACTGTAATCTGGCAGGACGGAATGGCTGGTGTACCAAGGTTTGGTTCGAGATATGCTGGTTAGTACGCTCATTGATATAGTGCACATACACACAGCATTACTCTGCATAATCACTGCCTCGCGACACAAATGGTGGGACTCGGGGTCTTCAGGACCGGTCAAGCATTTCCTATCAATAGATCCCGTACTGGTAAGGCCACAAATAGATCAATTCCGGCAGATGCTCTTTCCTAGCTCCATGAGCGGCTTCTAAGACGTCCGGTGGGCTAGACAAGGGCAATGTCATTCACAAATCATTCGCACTTCATCATCAGCCGTAGTTGTGGTAAAAGAACGGATACGACACGGGAATTTTCTCAAAGGGTCAACTTGGAAGGAATCACCTTCTGTATTCTGTGTTCATGTCTTATCCCTTTACTTTCTGTGTCCTGTTTTTTTGCAAATTGGTTCATCTCCCAAGTCGTTAAAAAGGGATATCGCCAAGAACTATACGAAGTACTGTTTGGTCACTCGATTTCCTCCTGCATTAGTATAAAATGTTAGACTGACTCGCCCCGTACTGATCCCTTTGATGACTAGGATATGTAGCGGCATGGTTTGAGCCTAGCAGCTGCCAGTCCTTCAGTGTCGGCTATGGTAATCACTGCACGTATCTGCAGAGAGCATGGGGCTGCTTGTTTCTCAAAGTTCGGGAAGGCCGAGCCCCTGGAACGAATGATCTCAATCATTCTGGTGTATATCCTGTAGGCGTCATTCCATGACCTTTGAGGACTCACCCTACGAGTTTTGGCTGACTTGCTGGAGGCCTTGCATAAGTCCACTATGCTTTGTACAAGGCCAGGAAAGGCCAGAATTGGATGAGTCATCATGCTTCACTGGTCATTAACGTCAATCGAACAGGTTGAATAGAGAGAGTAGACGTTGACATTCCCAAGGGACACCCTCAGCACTTTACCGCTTCTTCTCAAGCGCATATAATGGTCTTGGCCTGATGCTGTTCTCAAAAAGTAGACGAAGCATTGGTCCTCGGCAGAGTGTGTGTGCATCGGGGAGACTCCGCAAGCGTCCTCCGTGCTTGACCCAATGAGGCCCAAGCCAATGCGATCCTCGGCGCCAAGCCTTGCGGATCGTCTGGAGGATCCCGGATTATTAATTACCGGAAATCAGATTCTTGACGCCTCTTTAGGAAAGAAATCGATATCTGCAGGCAGCCAGCCAGGCACAAGGCTGTCCCCGTCCTACTGTGTACGGTACTTTGGTGATACCCGGCGTATTCAAATGTCTACCAGTATTGCAAAGGACAGCATGTTTACACGGAAAAGGGAGACAAATGTTCCTTTGTCCCGACATCATTTCCGAGGAGATGACACCCACCCACGAAGATCAATATGGGTGGTTGGTGGTTGGGCAGACACACAAAAGTCCGACCAACCCCCGTCTCCCACAATAATGATGCTAATCGGTGATGGTAATTGCAACCACCAAAGTTACGGTGTGACGGGGGAGAAGTACGTAACACTCGGTAATATGGAACATTCTTTAGTGGGGAAGGAGACATTCTGCCGCTACCTCTTTGGGACACTGGCGGTTCCAGAAGTTACCGTGAGCCGAGGTGATACACAGCCATTACCGCGCTAGAACAGTTGAGGGTCACACGGTAGGCGTTGGGCAGACTGCTGCGGTGTACCAGGGTTGTTCCGGGAGTCGGCACCCGCCCTTACCGCCTGAACCCAACCAACCCCCATTTGGCGCCTCACTATACTGAAAGCCCAGCGAGGGGGCGCTAAACCGTTTGGGGGGACTACAAACGACGAGGGCGCTAACGCTGTGCGATGCGGTCAGGCGCCTGCAGCTTTTCTGTTATGCGATCAATATTACCTTTGCAGTCTAGTGGACTCCGCCGGGACCCGATGTTACGGACAAACCGTCATCCACCCACGTACTAGTACCGGTTCAGCCTGAGGTTAAGATTAATTGTTACCGTCACTTTCTCTTTTAGTTTGTTTCCCCGTTATCTGCCTTTTCTGGATTTCCTGGTTTGAGATCATTACTACACAGTTCTTCCCTTGTGCCGCTGACTGTCCTGGGCTTGGCTCGTCTTATCCTCTCCCTCTCTCTGCCTCCCTCCCTGCTTCTTTGGTTCCTTTGGATCTTCTCCTTGTCTACTATCTTTTCATCATCCTCGTCTTCGTCGTCTCCCTACTGTCCTCTCTAAACTCGTTCCGGTGGACATCTGCCTCACTTGCCGTCCCCATCTCTCTCGCTACCTGCAATAGTCGCGTGCCTGCATACGGACCCAGCCGTCTTCCGCATTTGGCATCCTTCCGCTCGGCTGGGTCTCTGGCCAGTGCCAACACAGCAAGTGTGTTGTTGCTAATAGCCGATCTGCTCAGACTACTAGACTATATCTATCAGATATACTCCCGCTGGGGAACTGCCCACTGGACGTTCCCCTCCCTCCTCTTCTGCTCTCGTGCTCTCTTCCCATCCATGTATCTCGCTCAGACTCTCGACCAGAGCGCCTCGACAGGCCTAGGACGCCTTATCAAACAGTTTTGCCGTGGATTTAAATTGTGAAGATGATGGTCCCAAGAGCTTATCTTTTCAGTTCCCTGCCTCCCTCTCCGAAGACTTCTTACCGTCAACATGGTGAGAGGACTCCAGTCACCAAGTCCTCCTTGGATCTTCTCGCCGTCCACGACTATGCGAGTCTCGAACTTCCATCCGACTCTTCTCCGCAGTCCATGCACACCAGTCCGGTTGTGATACCCCCGAAGCGGGCTCCTCGCGTGACGTCGGTACATTGTCAGACTGCAAAGAAAGGGCCAGCCACGCCGAAGAAGTCTAGAACGGTGTCTCACAAGTCGTCGTCGGCCACTTTGACTGACCGGTCCGTGCCAAGTTCGATTGCCTCGATTTTGGAAGCCACAGCAATCCCCGTGCCTCGCCGTGGTTGGAGTGTTCGGGAGTCTCGCAACCGCAGAAAACTGCCTCGTGTGAATCATGTGCAGGAATTTAGCAAGTTGTTGATGGACGGTGTCGGCGATAACCTGATGGAGAGCACTGGCAACACAGTGCTGGATTTACTTCTGAGTCCCCCGGAGGAGGTCGACAAGTCTACAGTTGGGAGTGATTGTGACAGCGAGGCGCCGTCCTTCTCCGCTTGCTCTATGTCCCTTGAGTCGACGCCGTCGTTGGATCGCGACTACGACTCACCGTCCAGTCTCCCGGCACCGTCTACGCCGTCAAGTCAGCGGAGCCCGATGGAGCGGAAGTTTCACCGCCAATCACCCTGTGAGAACTGCATCTTCGACCACCCTTTGCTAGACAGCGAAATTTCGGACACGGAAGAGGAGTTCATCGAGCAGGCCTCATTGCCCGATCTGACCCCTAAGAGCCCGACTCCATCTCGAACGTTCCCGCGTTTAGGATCCACATTCAAATCAAACCTAACGGCTTCTTTGCGAGCGATCAAATCTGCTGCACAGAGTGTCTCGGCCTTTGCTACTCCTTCCGTTCAGCCGGACGACTTTCTGACCCGGTCTCTCTTCACGATTACGCCGGAGATGACGGACGACCGACGGCCTCCGCCCATGAACGAGCCGCCGTCTCCCGCACTCCGACGGTACCTGAACCCAATAACGGTCTCACCAGCGGAGATGTACGCTTATCAGGAATACCCACACGAGTCCCTTGATAGCCCCAACTGCCCTGTTTCCGTGCAAATGCAAACGTACCATCGCTCGGGTAGGCGCGGCAGTCGCAGGAGCGGGTTCCACCTAGCACGCTCCGAGGGCCGCGACCGACAGATGCTACCATTCGACCCCGAGATCCCGCCCATGTCACGCCAGCGCGAGCCGCGGGAAAACAGCGATTTCCTGCGCATGGTGGTCCTCGAGATGAACATGCGACGCAGCGGCAAGCTGCGGGACGACGTCCCGACGCGGGCCCGAATCTGGCTGCCTCCCCGAAAGGGCAGTCAGGGCCGTTATGTTCGATACGACTATTACGAGGATGAGGATGAGGACGAGAATGCAGTTCCCTCTCGTTGGGTCGGGATCTCTGTGAGCAGTCTGTAGACCAGTGCCGCTTCACCTCAGGTTTCTTTTTTTTTCTTTACACTCATTGCGCACAGCGAGGCGCATGGATTCCGGGCTTGGCTATTCTTCTTCCCTTTTTTTTTCTCTTGTACATATTTGTTTGCATAGATATTGGAGGCGTTCCCCTTAGGACTAGGGGACATAGCGAGGCGTTTGGGAAAGGGGGGAGAACCACCTATTCATTTGGAATATTGCTAGACTACACCTGGCTGGCTTTTAGGTAGAATAATTGCTACTATCTTTTACTTTGGATATCATCTACAAATACCGCTTATGCGCGGGATGAGCCTGACTGAACACGGTGAAACCAAGTTGACCTCCGCCGATTAGAATGTGATAAGTAGCACGGAGTCCGGAGTACACTACAGCGACTAAAGGCTACTAATTCCGGATCGAACTAACCTAAACTAACGCAGCTACTAAGTAGTCCTTCTCTAGCGACCTCCCTAATTCATCTAGCTCAAGGCTGTCTACCAGGCTACTCTAGCCGTGCAGGACTGTCCCGATACGTGCTAGATTATAAATTAAGGCGACTTAAGGCTCCGTGGATTGGGCTTAGTTGCGTTTGATGCTTAAGTGCGCCTTCTCGGAACAGTTCCGTTATTAATAGGCCATCGTGGTTTGTTTGATAGACCACTGTGATGTGGTTTGTATGTGCTATCGCTAATGGATAGAGAGTACTTAGCTATTATTATTGGATACATTTGTGAATTAAAATGCGTGGTAGTAAAGGGGATGGTCATGATGAAGGCATGCGTGTGACAGAAAGTTTAAATCTGGGTTTTGGGTATCACGCGAGCCAAGGCGCATTACTCCGTAGTTACTATTATATTATTCCTTGATAATATTATTGTTGTTATTATTTTGTTGTCCCCTGAGCCCGAGCCCAGCCGCTGCATGTACGTCGTGTGTGTGTGTGTGTGTCATTAGGCAGGGGGGAGTGCCAGGGATAGTTAGTTAGTCTATTACTGTAGTCAGCAGTTGCGATGAGTCGAATATTATTGTCAGAGTTCAGTCAGATAGTAGGGTATTTTATCATCTCAAACTCTCCCAAGACAAGAGAGAGAATAATACGATCGCTGATCTACACCCACAGGTACTATCTAGGATACCAGGTAACTTCTAACCACCCCACAGTCAATAAAAATAAACTCAACACGCGGAGGTTAATAATGGCCTGATGACGCCATGACAGGTAGGATAGAGTTCACGCCTGCTGTCATACTACTGGTTATGTTGATTAGGATTGGTTATTACTGTACGTATGTATGTATGATACTATACTCCGTATGTTATGTTATGTGTCAGGTTGTTTCAGTTCAGTATTATTATCTAATTTATTGAAACAGGGAAGAATATATAGTTAAGAGAGCTTGAATAGTAGGAGGAAAGGTAAAGGAACCCAAATTCAATACGAATCCAGTTTTTCATTGTAAACTATCTACTACCTAGACAGGTATGATGGCTGGCTGGATGAGCGGCTGATGAATGGACACCGTGCAGGTTTCCCTTATCTCTGTCCAATGGGGAATCAAGATTCCCATGACCCTTTTCAGTCATTGTCTCAGCCATCCATGGTGTTCCATTCCTCATGGATTGCCTGACTTGGTCAGATTGGAAGTTAGTCCAGTCAGTCTAGCACTTCGTTACTGGGGAATTAGTAGTAAACTACGAGTAGCTTATGGCCAAACACGGGTTGGATAATGCAGGGCTGAAATAGGTATTTCTGCATCCTTTTCATGGATGATGGGTGTATGGCATCGATAGTTCTACGAAGTGACTAAGCCATACTCAATGAGGTCTTTTGGACAAGATAGCGGCGTCCATGTCCATTCAATGGGCATTTATTCTTCCGCTCCAGCGAACCTTGAGGAGTACCATCGGGGGTCCTTCATGATAAATTCACAATGAGCTAAGTCAATATGAGAGTAGAGGGGAGGCCCTTTGGGCATAGAAGATAGTACGTAGTAGTAGAAGAAGACTAAAGAATGGCAAAAGATCTTATGCAGAGTGAATTAGCAGCATAGCTCGCTACATTGTACGGCCGATATATTCTTCCACTCCGATATCTAGCAGTACTACTAGTATCCATTGGAATATACCTCGGGTTATCTGCCTTACAGCTTTATCGCAGTGACCCACATCGTCGTTTGCTGCTTATCGCTATCTACTATCTACTAGTTAGTAGTATCATCACTACATGTATACTTGTAACCTAATCAGGGTCTGTTGCACTCCATGCACGCGAAGAAGATTAGTTCTGTCTTTTCTTTTTTAATATGTTTTTACCGTGCTTACCGGTTCCCCACTTCCTTGCACAGGCTCAGAAGATCGCCTTCGGCTCGGTATTTCCATCGAACTACGGCAGACTTCTTGAACTACAACTCAAAAGGGTATCTAGTCACTGAGAAGGTTTCTGTTATTGTTGGTAATTCGGGGAAAACATACCTTCTGGTATATTCAGAAGTCGGCAGTGTTTTCCGTGCTGCTGCAAAGGAATTCTACATTTCTGCAGACGTTGGAGAAACATGTAAACTTGCATTCTACCATGAATCGCAGCCTTTTGTGGACTTTGTAAGCAATTATCATCAGTTTTCGTATCCTATGTATACTGGTGGATAATAATTGGTCGTGAATCGATATCAGAGCCGTACGGTTATCTCCGCTTCTATGCCCCAGACTATACTCCACGTCAACTGGAGTCGAGTATATCTCCTGCTACTTTGTTCCTGAAAAGAAAGATGCATGAGATGATTTAGATGGGACTGCAGATGGTAATACTACCTCATAGATTGGACTAGGTTAGAAGTTTCTAACACTGGCGTAGCTCAGTTTGCTCACGATGCAAGCGCTACTGGACAGAATCTCAAGCACGTATTGGAACAGCTAGAAGATATGTAATTGGCCATTTACTATCTCTGATTACAAGCACAATAATGCACAAGCACTTGTCAGAGGTACTTCCTTCATTGCTGATTCCCAGCCCAAAGATGGTAGGCGTATAGCTAAACATTACCTGAAACTAACTCTGACCTCATTAAAGGGACTACCCTGGCTGAAACCCCAGAGCTATTCACAAATATGCTCGGATCTTTCTTTTGCCACCCACTAATATTGTTGATCGTGGATAGTGGACGAGCTCTCAGAGCAAGTGAAGTATGAGGTCTAAGGTTCCTGGGGCCGAGACTCTTATTTCTTAGCCCAGACATCAGCAACATTATTGTGTCCTTAGTGGTATCAAGAGCAGTTACTTCATAGCTTGATAGTGCACAGTACTGCCCCATGGAGTTGATTTCATGAACCTAAGTAAGTAGGAATGTTATGAACTAGTTGCAGTTATATGAACAGGACAAGATAATATATTTAGTGTATGGCTGAAACATAGCCTAAACCCCTTCTCTGTCTTCGTAGCTACTCCAACAATAATAGTTACATGCTATGTCTACCGAAGTATATCAAAAGACAGGACTAAACCAACACGGGACGTACCATACGAACTACCTGTATACATAGGAAACGGTCACAAGACCATAACACGAACAGCCACTTCCACATTATTAATCAAGATCGAGCTAATATACGATCTACAACACCATGTCGCGAATCCCTGTCAATAGCCAGCCATAATATAATCCCACTGCTAGTATCTACTCCGTAGTCCGGTGGAAATAATACCCGTTTGGATTCTTACATCATAGTATACTATTTTCCGATCTTGGACACTGAGATCCTAGTATTTATCCATGACAGAAACACAATCCATGAATTCCGTCTGGCACAAGACACTCCACACAAGATCTAATATTACTTCACGGACTACACTAACTTCATTTCAAATCATAACATTCCTATTGTATCCGTGCATACCCAGCAAACATCCCGGTAAGATGAACGACGCTTCCAACCGCCAAACGGGCCGTCGCGGCCCAAACAAAGTACCTAAACAGGAACTCAAATAAACAGGAACCATCATCTGCCAGCAAAGCTTCCTCCAGACTGGCTGTAGATAAGACCGTCACACTTCCCGCCATCTATTATAGTTTTGCTGTGGCTGTGGCGGTCAGACGATTGGTGGGACAGGGGGAGGGTTGCAGATAGATTCCGTGGGGGTGGGGACTGGTTGTTTCTCCGGTGATCGTGAGTCAGAGATAAGCACGACCCCATATCCAGCTCTGTATGGGATACATATCTATCTATCTACCTACCGCTTCGACCAGTCTTCATGCATCCTATCCTGTATAGGGGGTTTTCTATGCATCAGATTGTAAAGCGTGGGGTGGATTGAGCATGGCAGTAAACAAGACTGACTGATCGGTGCACCTGCAGCATCATCTGAGGGATCACAAACCAGAAAAATCAAGAAGAGGAAGAAGAGGATAGGCACAGGTTGCACGGTTGATGCGTGTATACCCGACGACCTTGTCGAACTGATTAATCCCTGAGGTCCGATTAGCCCCTGCGTTGGTCGATCCTGTCCTCGTCACCTTACTATATTTGTCTGGGGGCGTCTGCTGCTCTCCACTGTCCCTGATCTAGTTAGTGGCAGAGGAGTGGAAACATAGGCTGCCTACGTTGATAGATCAAATCTTTCTGTATTGAGTACATTACCGCTTGTTATGGACTACTCCTGCTAAAGTACTGACAAAGTACCTGGCTGGTATTAGGCTGGGCTAAAGGAAGCTGTTGTCCTTTGTAGACGTGTTCGGGTTTCGGAACTTGAGCCCTGCTTTTGGTTAGTTTTCTAGGCAATCAACCATCTAAGCTTTTTACTAACTTCTTGCGATGTAGTCTAATGATTATCGGCAATTAGTTCCACTGGCCAAGGCTCCGAACATGACCGCCATTCTAACTGATTTAGATGTTAAGACCTCTTGGGCATGATGAACAGACAACAACTGAGGATATAGGTTATCTCTCCCGAGCGACCAAGCCAGACACACACCTCACCTAAACGCCCGAAAGAAGAATCCCACTCTTAGTGCAGACATATTCTGATGATACTCACATGACTCATAAAATGCAGTGATATCGTTTGTATAATCTCTTTCAGTCTGGCCAATGGGTCCATAGTATATACAATGCCATCCTAAGCCATGGAATGCAAGAATTAGAGCGCTAGGAGCCGCACTGTTTGGCAGGTATATTGATCTTATGGGTATTAGGAGGGAATTCTAGCTTGAGATTGATATCATGTTACGATGGTCAGATTGTGTCATTGTGGATAAGAACGGCGTTGCTTGTTTTCAAATTCATTCATGATTTGAGTATATTGTGTCTTTTCTTGGAAGCTTCTCTGTCTGACCTTACGTTTGCCGACATTCAGTGACGTTTTCTGAATTCGATCTCTGTGTGTTGGACAGAGGAGGGTACGTTCAGTTGTAGATCACGACTTCTGAACAACGTGGTCGAGCGCTGGGCTACTCAGACCTGGAGGCATGAGACTATGCAAGGAATCAATTACTCGGTCTACAGTGAAGACCCAGTTCTTCAAGATCTTAACTATACAATCACTAATATACAACTAGCCATCGCTCGTATTTGAAAGTGCCCAGCAAGTCTACGACTTGGATGTTATCTCAGAAAGCTTGCCCAAGATCGCGGTAAATCGTTTGGAGATCCCCCACGACGACAGGCCGGCAAGTATCAGGCAGCCAACTTTGAGGGTCTCCTCTGGTCCTTGCGGAGCACATATATCCCCAACGCCGGTCAGAACCGCTTTCATTCCTTGGCCTTCGCGCACGAAAAGTTGGGCTAATTCATCATCGCAGGGTCTGTCGAGGTGAATGAACAGAGGCTTTTCCGGCATGCCGTGGCTTGCCTCATGGCGGCTCGTCATGTCAGATAAGGAGGTATAGCATGCGCCATATGCCCACAGAACTAGTGTTGCCAGGAAGACAGCGACTGGCTCATGGAAAGAACGACTGGAGAAATCGCGTGCATGTCTTAGCATTGCACCGGCGTGTACAACTGCCAGACGAGCCTTGTACTGGTCATGTTTGACCCAGCGTAGTATATAGTGCCATTCAAGGGTCTGTTCACGTTCACACCATCGGGACTCTTCCATCGCCAAAGATGTTGCGAGTGACCGTATTTCACGAAACGGAGCAAGGAGAATTATGCGGGCCAAATGGAGATGCAAGATTGTGGGATGTTCAAGGCCAGCGGTCCTGGCTACTGTGCTGCCAGCAGCCCAATGGAGTATATCCAGGCAGTCACACGCACTGTTTCGCCACTTGGAATAAGATGGAATACCAGGCAGCCAGACGGAGCCAGACGGGAGTGCAGAATGCCGTGACTGCTTTTTCGAGGTTGGGTTCCAGAAGGACAAGGGGCGGCGGAAGTAGTCTCCCACTTCCCACATACGGTGGTATAGCGCGTGAATGAGAAGAAGCTGACTGAACTCCCCGATATCAGGTACTAGCTCCTTCTCGATGTACATTACAAGAACCGCATCGTAAAGGGAGGATTCCTTCTGGTCTTCAAGACGACGTGTTAGTTGTAAATCCTGAGCTGGCAGATAAAAGACGTATGATACCTGACATCCTTCCCCGTACGTCTTTCCAGGCCTCTAGGGATTTTGCCGTCCAAAGTGCCTCGTGGGAAGGCAGCGTTGCTTGGCTTTCGTCAAGAGAGAGCAGAGGGCGCCTGTCAAATTGGTATGCTATTGTGCAATCCAGAAGCTATTGCCGGTTAGTCGTTACACACCCAAGATGATTGGTCGGAGCACGTACCCAAATCAGGTAGCCTATGCGTCTTCTGATCTCGTCCTCGACCCAGGACAGCCAGTGCTGCTCGTTCGTCTTCCCGTTTAGAGGTTGTATGGGTCTGTCCGGACGACTAAGAAGTTTCTCGCGGTTCACAAAACCTATCAAGTTGCCAAACGTATTCAGCGCCAAAAGCCTAGCCCGTTCATCACAACTGTATACTATCCCAACACAGTTGAGTACTGATGCTTGAAGAAGCCACACGGGTGCACGATCGACATAATACTTCTCTTCCTAGAGAAACGAAAAAGGTCAATGATGGGTCGACAGTATAAAAAAGACTGTCTCTCACCTCAACACTTATAGCGCGTCTAAGAAACTCATGAAACACCGGCGCACACTCGCTTTGTTCTTGGGAACCAGCAAAATGGCAGCCTATTGCTGAGAGAGCTAGCACCACTAGCCAATGGCACTCGTTGATATCAAATGTAGGGGTGTGAAATATTGGGTAAACAGGCTGGAAATGCACGAAGTATAGATTAATAAAGCTTGACAGTGTTTCCGCATCAGGCAGGTGATCGGATTCAAACTTTGGATACAGTATACTCTCCGCGCAGCACAATTGAATGAATGCACTTCGTATCCTCTCATATGTCGGTGGTCCAAGTGTGTGATGATGGTCATAATGATTCTCGTTTGTGGCGTGGACCCTTGGCTTTGGAAATTGAGGGAACAAGTATTGACGCCGCGTATCTGCTTGCTGCAGCTGTAAAGACGCATTCGCAGAAGCAGCACATAACAGAGACCAAGAGTCTTGATTCAGTCTAGAACTCGATGAATTCGGAAGAGCACCATCCACTGAGTGATTTCTGACACGCCTATTCAGATGTGATGACTGGCTTGGGCTTTCAGTGTTACCACCTAGAGACGTGTACCCAGATGGTGTTTGAGATACATTCTCTGACACCAATGAGCTACTCTCAGTACCATGTATGACGGATTGATACCACGGAGCTTGACTAAGGGAGGTATCCAGAATTCCGGAGGTCTTTTGGTAGGTGTTTATTGAATGACGACGGCCGTTAGACGCATTAGCGAGATCCTGCGGGAGCCAGTTGATCGTAGGAACAGTGGTCTGATTAAGTAGAGGTTGTATGAGTTCCATTGGTACCTGCTGACTTCCCACTGTTGGCATTGTTGCTATGCCATCAGAGCCTTTGGCTGACTGGAGCCCCTCAGTTCGATGAGCGGGTTCTGCCATGTCTTCGGTCGATGTTGCGATTTGTGAGTACAATCCTTGTGTTCTCACGGTACCATTCTGCACAGAAGGGACCCGCATCTTCTTCACCTCTCTAGTAGAATCGTGCAAAGATAGTGAAGTAGAATTGTCCTCGGCGCCGAGAGCTTGTCCATTTGTCCTGGTTTCATCCAAATGTTTATTTTCTGGCTCTATATTATTGTTATTTGCGGACAAGTTAGATGAGACTGCGTTGGAAGTATTAGATATGGGCATTTGTAGCTGAAACTGTGTCATCTGGTAATGAAAGGGCGGCGGGATTGATTGTTCTCCATTGCGTGACGGACGCAAGTCGGTACCATTTGCCCACGTGGACTGAGCCAGATGAGAAGATTGAGCGTACGATGCGTCGTCGTTTGTAAAAGAGGGCTGAGTCTCCTTTCGAGTCTTCGCTTTTGATCGTCTCTCGGTCGGATACTGACATTCCAGGGATCGACTCTCGCAACGTGCGCACGGCGAGCCCCCACTGCATCGCACCCTTGCGATAGCGCATTTGTAACAAGCGCGGAAGGTTTTGACGGTGATCCGGTGCGTACGATCCTTTCCCCCTTCCATTCCAGCATTATGATGACTGAGTTCGTGACGATGAAGAGTATCCCTAACGACGGTGTCAATTGACCATGCATCCAATAGATTAAACACGGCAGATCAGGGGACGTGTAGGATCTGCCAAGATCTACGAACAGCATTGGGGCACAGGAATATAAACGACTAAGCAGGGGGGCCATACGTTCTGGAGAAATGCCGGCCGCACTGCGCACACTCAAACGGCTTTTCCTTTGTGTGACTGCGAAAGTGGCGCTTTAAATGCTCTGGCCTTCTAAACGTGCTTTGGCAGATCGAGCATTTAGTCTGGCCAGTCCCTGTCGAGCTCTGCGGTACGTCATGGTTCTGGTTGCTGCTGCGGCTGCTGCTGCTGCTGCTTCTGCTGTCGTTTTTCGTCGGCTCTTCGGCCTCAGGGCGGGTCACGGTTTCTATGTAACAATTAATCTACCTGCAAGCCAGCATGCCACTACAACTGCGCACCCCCTCATTTGCTCCGAAGATGAAACCAGGTCTGATCTCTTACCTTGCCCGACATCGCTGTTCTCCGGAGACATGGCGTCTCATGGGCGGTTTTCCGTCAAGAAACAACAGAGGGAAGTCTGGCATGGCACCTGAGGTTACTGATGGAATCAAGAACGAGCCGAACACTGAACAGCATCCCCGGGAAGTCTGTAGACAATCACCATCATGTCACTCTCAGGAACTCCCGCCGCGTGGTCCAGGGGGGTGGAGGGGTGGGAAATAGGTAGCCGGGAAAAGTGAATCGGCGGAACGTGGTCAGACAACAGTCTGCGCTGGACAGTACTAGTGGAGGGAGGGACCATTCTGGCTGTTAGTGTAGTTTAGAAGGGGGGAGAAGCGGGGGAAGCTGGAGATTGACTTGTGACTGGCGGAGGAGCCTCTTTTAGCCTCTTTAGCGCCGTTGTTCCCTCGCGGGGCCCACGAACCCATCGCCCTCCGCGTGGGCGCCAATCGCCTTGATTGGAGGGGGTCCCGAAGATTTAGATTAATGTTGCATGTTTGGCCCAAAAAGATTGCGCCCGGATCCTGGGCATTTAGACCGAGGTCGGTTAAATACGTCTGTGACGATAGACGCCAGAATGGATGGGGGAAGCATTTTGCACGGGAAGCGGTTGTGAATATTGCCCCCTAAAAGACATACCCATACCTGAGGACCCCCATCAGACACAAAGCCTTACATTAACCTAAATGATTACATGATGCTCATTTGAATGTATCTAATCAATATAGTCGTCTAAGTCAATCAATTTCAGACAATAATAATGGCGTGTTACTCTTCCCGAGTCATAATGGGTGCGTCTCCTCGCCCCTCGACGATGAGCATAACTGTATATGGAAAGACACACATTCTCCCCAATTGATGCCGAGGCCCGATTGACCTCATTATATGCACTAGTTTGTGGCCTCATACAACTTAAACATCCACGAATCGTAGATATATCCCGCATATGACAGGCTTGAAGTCATGAGGCAATGTCAACACTACACCACAAATGCTGTCTAACAGAGTTCATTACGATGCATATAAGCGCCATCCGATCGATAGCGTTGCTTAGCAAACCCACATGGTGGTAGCCTTCACCATGATGTGTCAATGAGTGATCTGTCAGATCTTGTTCTACTGTCAGATATAGTTTTGACAAATACCTCTTTCCCTTTTTGAAAGTATACGTACTTCGTGGATGCGGGAGTGTCATCATCATCCGCCGTTATATATAATATCATGATCAGTACTTCAATCGTACGGCCGGACAAAGCCGATATCAGACGTTTTCAATAAACGTACTCGTGAATCCACCTACTTACACAGGCTGATAGGTAATATGCTGATAGACTACGGTCTTCAAATAATTAGTAGGAATTTCTGTAATAAGAAAACACCATATTATCTGGTTGGTTTACTAAACCATTCACGCAACTAGTTAACGTTATGTTATGGTGAGGACGAGACGCTAACTTCGGACGGCCAAAACGCACGGACCCATTAGCTCAGCAGACTTGCAGTCAGGGTGTCCGTTGCCTTTCTGTATCTCCACGCCATCAAACCCGCCCAAGAGTTTCAACAACGTACTATTGAAGTGTACCTATTGTTCTCAGGGGATATTGTCGGTGCCTTTCTACTATTACATAAGGGTATTCCGCTGCGGTTGCTGTTCTTCCCTTCCCTGGATCAAACCTAAACTACGACCGCCGCAGAACCTTGGGTCGGGGTCCCCCCATGAATGGCAAGCCCGACATCAGCTCTGGACAGCCGGTTGCCTCGTCATGCATCATCGGGCCCTGTTAATAGTACCGTGACAGCCCTCCAAGGAGCCACAGCTGCTTTCAATGCAAATCCTGCCAGCAGAGCACGGCCACCTATTATCCATTATAGGTCTGGCGCATTCATGGAGCCTGTAGGGGTCAGCCACAATACTCCTGAAATGGATCCGCCTCGCAACATTCAGACTCCAGAATTGCCCGAAAGTGGCTCAGTCAAAGACAAGATCGGGAAGTTTAGTGCCTATCAGCAGCAGCCCTCTGGCTTGAAAGATGCATTCGGGAAAACCCCAACGAGCATAGGGGCGAATAGGTCACGCACTCCGCAGCAGATCGCTGCCCAGCTGGCCGCAGGAAGATCGACGCCAGGTGAAATCACTGCCACGCACACGGGCGTCAGCAGGACGCAAGGTTCGAGACCGACGACTTCAAAACGCAGTGATGACAACGAGGGTCCGCCGTTGCTAGCCCCAAAGCCGGTATGGGCTACGAGTGCAAACACGGCCTCGGTGAACAAGCTCCTTCGCAGCGAGGCCGATTTGCCAATTAGAGACAAGTCAATTCAGCGAAGACCAGTAGCTCAGATATCTCCCATAGAGGCGGCGAGGTTGGCTGCGAAGAAGCCTCGACCTCCACCTGTGCCACGAAAACCAGCTGCGGTTGCCACTGGTCCAACCTCAGTTCCTATCAACGTACATTCCAAAGGCCCAGAGAGTCCAGAGCCGACCTCCAAAAACCACTCCTCACGTCACCTTGAGGATACTACTATCCCTTTCAAGGCCCCGCCAGCACTTCCACCCCGAACTGGCGCTTCGTCCGTGCCTCGGAAAGACCTGACAAATCATCGGCGGCTTTTAGACACCAACCATGGGTCCCGGAGACGACCATCGACGCCTGGGACTGCATCGCTGTATACTACATCACTGAGCAATAGTACTACGAGTTTGCTCGACAGCTCCTCCGGACTGGATGAAGGGGCCTTATCGGATGCGGTCGTGGCCTCGTCAAGGGCATCTGTTCGGGCTTCACAGGAAAGGAAAGTCCCACCGCCCCCACCGCCAGAGCGCCGGGCGAGGTCTCGATCTCTAAAGCAATTCCCGCATACGGCCAAGGGAGAACACACAGATTCATCTAGTCCATCCACACATTTACGACAGACCCTCCGGGAACCGACCAAGATAGCCGAAAATGATGAGGGGTACCAAAGGCATAAGCATCTGATTCGCAAGCATCCGCACAAGCATCACGAAGGTGACCGCAGAAGATGGCGGAGTGAGATTACGGAGAAAGAGCGAAAGCGGTACGAGGGTGTCTGGGCTGCGAACAAGGGATTGTTGCTCCCTCCCGCGCACTTGAGGGTCCCCGAAGCGTACCCGCCGGAGTCCTCCGAGATGGTGGTCAACCTGGTGGCCGCTGACATCTGGTCACGTAGTCGCCTGCCGCGACATGTTCTAGCACAAGTATGGGATTTAGTGGACGGGCAACATATTGGTCTTCTCACCCGAGAGGAATTTGTGGTTGGGATGTGGTTGATCGACCAGCAGCTGAAAGGCCATAAACTCCCACCCAGGGTGCCCGCCAGTGTGTGGGGAAGCGCCAAGCGGATATCAGGAGTGCACATCCATGGGCTTCCTCCTGCCTGAAGATGATGAATCGCATGATAAAGGAGTGGGGACCTGCAATAAGCCACGATGGAGAATCCACGCCGGTGCCTTGTGGCTAGACGATCGCATAGTTTAATAATAATACGCTAGTAGGAGGATTTCTTGACTGCCTGGTAGGAGCGGGAAGCTCCCCCGATTATTTGCAGCGTGCATGGGTTACGGAGGACCGGCTGCGAGCTCGGCCGCGTTAAGCCCGAAGGTATTCCTTGTTCGAGGTAATGGTGCCGGCCATTTTGCTCATTATTTATGGAGATGATGGATCGGAGGAAGACAGACGCAGATACGCTACCTAGCTAGAGCCCGGTATTTAATCTCCCGTGAGGAAACCAGCAAAAGGAATTTACTCACTGGCTTGCTTGCTTGCGTGTGAAGATTTAGAGTGCAGGGTGTTATTATAGGCCAAGTACTTACAGTAGTCGCTCGGGCTTTCTGTGGAGCCCGTAGATCGATCCGAAAGTTTGCCCTCCCCCGCCTCCTCTCTGGGAGAAGCGCAAATACCGCCATGCAACTGGAGGGAGGGTAGACTACTATCTACGGTGTAGATAGATAGACTCGGTGAAAGATGCTGGTCCGTGACAGGGGTGCTTCGGGAGAGGAGGAGGGGAAGGGTAAGCAGAGAAATCCCCATTTCCGGGAAACCCAGACAGCCCACCCCTCCCGTGGCCCGATTAAAGCCTACCTAAGAGAATGGGGACCTGATCCACCCGGACTGACGCGAGATCATTTCCCTTGACAATAGTACCGAGAAGGTATAAGTGGTATGTGAGTGGTGCATCTGCTGCGGCTACATTTTCCGGTTCATATCACGTGATGGGCTGAGACGGGCTGCTGATCGCCTGATGGGGAAGGAGTCGGATGGCGAGTGTCGGGCACCGCCACTTGCTGATGGTCCCCGAACGGCACGTTAGTACTAGTACTCGTAGGACTCCTGTACTAAGTAGTAATGGGAGGAGGGCTAAGAGGGGCAAAAGGAGGGAGGAAAGGATGACAGGAGAATTTTTTTCAGCATACTCAACCAAAGGAAGAGAAGGCAGGGGAACGAATCAAGCAATGCAGCAGCTGCAGCTCGTTAGTAGTAGCTGCAGGCCTTTGAAAAACGCTGTCGCAAGTCTAGTAGTTGATACGGAGTACTAACTAACTAGTAGTAGTCTGCTTACCTTAGTCCGATCTGCTCCAAAAGCCACACTTTCTTAGATCTGTGGTCCCATAATAAAAAAAATAAAGATTTCAAAATTAAAAAGGGGAAAGGGAAAAAAGAATGGTAAAAGGAAAAAAAAAAAACGAATGGATATTGCAGAAATAAGGAATGAATATGGTAGGCCATTCCAGAGACACCCAAGAGTCAACGACAGGGGATCGACGATCGTGATTCGAAGAAATGCAGCCGACCCGGCGTGCATTTTGACTACTAGAACGACTAACTAATCGGGGGGCGCCCCAGTTTGAAGCGCCACCTTACGCTGGCCTGCATTTTGACTGGCTTTTCAACAAGCAAATCCCGAACGGCCACACTTCGGGATTTGCCTCTTCGGGCCTGGATGATGATTAAGCCGTGCAGGGTTCCTTCAGCTGGTGGTCTTGACGCTGTGTATACCAGTCCTCCCCGTCCGTTGATTTGCATTAAAAAGGGCCTGCAGATTGGCTCCCCAGAGTCAAGGCAATTTTCGATGGCTGTATTGTCTGTGCCATTGTTATGATCGTCGTCGTCGTCGTTGTCGTCGTCGTTGCGGTTTTAGACGGGTTTTGGTTTGGGACTTCTCTTCAATACTAAGTCAAGTCGGTCAAGGAATGCTTGCCTTCGGGGGCCAACGGCAACAGTAGTACGTTCCGATAGGCGTTTCATGACCTTCTCCTCGGGCAGTCGCTCGGTTTGTCCTTCGTTGTTTGCCCAAAACCCGCCGTCATGGTTTTAGAGGATCCCGGACAGCCTGGTGGAAAGAATGGGATCCCGGCTGTGGCACTGGCAGTTACACAGTCCAAGACCGCCAGACCCACGGTGGTCCGCAAGAAGTTCGCCAAACCTCCCGTCAAAGTAGCTTGTTTAGCATGGTAAGCTCACTGGCCCTCATCCCCTTCCGTCCCTTTCCCTTCATCTCCTTGTTCTTGTGCCTTTCGATTTCTGCGGCAAGCTCATCTTCCGCCGTTGGTCATTGGGAGGGAACTAATCCGGATTCACTTTTATCAGTCGTGCTTCAAGAACACGTTGTGATGGTCAAGACCCGTGTACCAATGTAGGTATACTCCCTCATTCTTTGGGTTGTCAGAGCTTCCAACACCCCCCGAGTGATTTATCCTATCTTAATCCTATGGACCCATTCTCTTCCCTCTTCCCTCTTTTCTCTTTCCCTCTGCAGCCGCTTTCCTACTCTGCTATGGCTCAGCGGGATGTTCTGACTCTCCCTACCTTTGTTCTCAGTCATTGGACTTTCCTTGATTTCCGAGAGAATGTGTGTGTGTGTGCTGATCTGCTTGTTTTGGGACAAAAGTGTTCCAGTAGGAATAAGAGTTGCTCTTATTTGCCTAGTAAGCGGGGTGGCCCAAGGAAGAAGAAGAACAAGCCATCTACAGCTGCAGAACCTCCACAAGATGGTGTCGAGGATCCTACGATTTTCCCGGCGTCCTCGGGATTTGACGAATGTGCGGTCAGACCCCAGTTATAATCCCAAGGGCATCCACTAACGCACGTTTAGCATCCGGGATGTTTGGCCAAATTGACGTCCTATCAATTCCGGGGGCAGGGTTGAGAAGCCTAGACTTCCCCTCGGATGTCCACGCCATGTTTGCGGATCTTTTTGTTCCAGGCACAGAGAATACGCACGGCCTGGAGCCGACGCCTTCCCCATCAAATATACCGTCTCGGGCCTTGGTTAGGACTTACGGCAGTGAAGATGCGATGTGGGTGCTAGCTCGTCTCATTAAGTCTTCACAGCATTCTGACTTGAGATTACAGTCTTGACGCATACTATGTCTTCATCCATAATTATTTCCCTATACTTCCACCAAGGGTTGACCCTCCGGCTCCTGACCGACCCCTGGACTGTGCGGGTTCATTCACAGATTCACCGTCAGAACAACCACTTCTTATCTATAAGCCAAGGTCGCCTTTGAGTTTGGCGATCTCAGCGATCTTGGCCCTCGTACCACACCCAAACGACCCAGAACCATCGGGGCCTGCGTCCGTCATCCGTCGTCGCACATTTGCACACACATTTGCCCAGCTGGCAAATGCAGCTATCGAAACCGATTGCGAGCTTCACGCTTCGTCTACCTACCCTTCAGATGCATTGACGAACGAACGGCCTCTTATTGATCGAGAGCCTTTTCATCCCCAGACTCCAGTGGAACTCGAAAGTCTGCTCGCGCTTCTTGTACTTTCAATTTACGAATACAATCAACGAGGCAACCTTCTGAAGATGCGTTACCGTGCCGGTCAGGCTCTGGCCATAGCGTTGGATATTTCTCTGCATTCTCTTGGGGAAGAATTCGATGAGTTTGCGGAAGCTCGCAGGAGAGCTTGGTGGATGACTGTATGGCCCCTTTATATGCATCGTACCATGGTCACTAATGTCTCTGTATGTGCAGTATTATTGTGTTTTGCAGGGCTCTATTGTCAGCACTACGGTAAGTATCTTCTTGCTTGCCTCACATTGCAAACGCTAATGTCCGATTCGCAGCCTCTAGCTATTATCGCGAACGATCCCCAATTTGTCACTCCTTATCCACGGTTTTCGGCCGATCCTGATGTATGTGTCTTCTCATCGCCTGAGTCTCGAAGTTGGAAAATGTGTGAATAGTTGGCTTCTAACACACTATAGGGCTGGTCTGTATTAATACAAGCCCAGCAAGTTCTTGTCTCAGCAACACAATATATCATCGATCTGAATAAGTGTCTGTCCACGAGGACGAACATGCAATACATTTATGAACGGATGCAGCAACTTGACGCATGGGCGAGCTCTGTTCTGGCACAATCAAATCTGCTTCCGATCTTGCCCCAGTCCATGGCCTGTGGCGGGGAGATAGAGTTGACAACAGCTCAAAGTATCCGTGCAATATCACGGATAAAGTTGTCTAGGTGGGTATCTTTTGGTCCCTTGACGACGACGGACTTGTTATTAATGGTTATTAGCGCTCAAATCAAAGTGCATCGGTTTAGGGCTTTCTCAGACCTGCCAATCTTCCTTAAAAAACACTGCGATCTGACCTCGAGAAATCCGAACAACGAAATGCCAAGCAATACTTCCAAGAACTCCAAATCGCAAAGTGGAATTGCAAATATCGGATGTTCATGCAGCCTGGAGCCGTTCCAACAGGCACCCAGTGACTACTCATCGTCGTCTTCCCAGGCGTCTGATATTCAGCAGTATCCTTTCATGCAAGGGTTTCCATACAGCATTCAACATTCAGCGAAAACGTGTCTCAGAGCATCCCTTCTAATTTCACGCATGTTCTACAGTCTACCCCTGCCGCAACCGCTTCTCGATGAGTGTCAGACTCAGCAGGGACTACACATGCTACCGAATCAGTTACCACGAACCATGCCGTCATTTGCGTGCTGCCTAATGCAGGGCAGCTATGCTATGTTGATGATCTATCTTAAAGCGCGCCGGGAGAAACTGACTCCAAAGAGTGGAAACGACGATACCCCCAACCCCTCGGACAGACTCATCGAAGAAATCCGCAAGGGGCTAGAACGTATAATTGCTACTGTTACAAATTACGCGATTGCATTTGAGGCGTTGGATGGGATGAGGGGTAAGTGCAGTGCAACCCAGCGAATTATCCCGACAATGACTGACCTAGTACGGATATGCAGATGAGATTGAGTGTGCATATCAAACGGCGTTTTCTCAAGCGTAGGCCTGATTTTGTCATTAGGTGGACTCAAAGGTTCTGTTCTATTTCCACAAACAAGAGTCTTTCCAGGATGGGACTAGTCGCATACTACTACTTTCTAGTATCCGCAACATATGGCGCGGGGGGCGCCATTGGCTATGAACCCCCGATTTCCCAATCTACTCTCAGTTCTATCATTTAACCCACATGGATACCATAATTACCCAATACTCCTAGACTCTAACTCATGATGATGATATGATGATTATGACGCTTTCTCATGGTACCTTTAACCTAAAACTCTTGGCTCTACTTCCCACCCCTTCTTCTATCCGAAGCCTACGACTCCATATTTACCGGCAACGACACCTCAAGTAGCTACAGGATGCGATGTAGAAAATACAATCCCTTAAGCAGCTCACATGCATAAACTATCTAATCTATCTGCGTAATCACTTCTAAAAGCTACTTGGGATCCATGCCAAGAAATTCGATGGGTAACAAGAATGTGTTACGACCTGATATGATATTGTAGATCGTGAAACGAGCCAATAAATAAAAAAAAGGGGAGAAGTTAATCTCCCGAAATAGTACAACTATGAGGGCTATACTAGGTTCCATGACCTTATAAATTACTAGGCATAGTATGACCCCGTTGCAACAGCGTCTGAAGTGACTCAGGTGTCATCCTTCAACTGCCGTGTTCTCTTGTTGGATAGTTAGTCGAGCCTAATGAGGAAAGGATGAGGTACGTAGTACTATTACTTAGTACTGGCCTAGAAGAAGCTGAGCCAAGGATAGACCGCTAAAATTACTGTACATACAATGATTTTGAATCGAGTATCATTCAGACAAACCCCCATTATATATCTATGCTTGGTAAACTTAGCTGGGCAAACTATTGTACTTGAGCAATAAGTGACAACTATCTATAATAAGGAATCTCTTTTTGTTTAAAGGAAAGAGAGGATGCTGAGAGAGAGGCAGTCTCAAAGTTTCGACCGTATCCCCTCTAACCGGAATTTGACATCCTTGAGCACTTTGCTTGTTGGCTTCCAGTCGTCGAATTGGCGTAGGAGTTCCATTGTCTCATCGTAAAGTTCGCGGCGGACGTATTCCTCTTCGAGAATTCCGCGCATCGCGAAGGGAAGGATGTACGGGTTTGCGGGGGCTGGTTGGGTGCGTTTGATGTGCAGATTGGCGCTGTGGATGGTGGATGTTTCGAGTGCGAATTCGATGGCCAGACTTGTTTCCATTAGTATTGTTGTTGGGGGGGTGGGGGAGATAGTGAGGCGGGAGGTGTAACGTACCGGTATACGGATGGGTCATCATAGAGACGGGAGTGCCCCTCTCCACTATATAGACTGCCTGCGAGGGGGGAGCTGAGCTCGCGGATGAGACCGTGGTCTGGGATGCCTAGGTTGCGAAGCTTGAGGACGAAGCCGACTAGGTGAGAGAGACTGCTTGAGGGTTAGAGGGCTTTTGGTTTGTCGGAAGGGACGGAGGTTGATTGGCTTACAAGCTTGGGGCGTGAACTCTGCCATCGACGAAGGCTGCGCGGTAGATGTATGGATGGGTTACGGGTGCGAAAAGGGACGACTAGAACCAGTGGTTAGTATATATGAGAAATAGTAGGGGGTGGTGTGTGGCACTTTACCTCAAGAGAAACTAGCTGATCATCAATGCTTCCAATGTATGATATCCGAATGCCAAAGTCGAGACAGGTTCTCAGCGCTGATTCATAATCTTTTGAGACTTGGCTGTAAGGCAAGGCGAACTCGAAGAGCTCTCCGGCTGAGCCACTGATCCAGCGAGATCTGAAGTCTGCGAAAGGACCCAGGTTGACACCTGCCATAGCACAGACGCCGACACGCGCTGCATTGAGACAGCCGAAGGATATCAACTTGGCGACCAGCATGATCGCAACAGGTACACCCTGACTATGGCAAGCCACCAGAATGAAATCAGCCTTTCTGATCTCCTCCATCCAATTGAGTAATAATTTCCACAGCAGGTCGACACGCTCAGCTATACGCCCCTCGCCTTCCAAAGCAATCTTTTCGATGTCGCATTTGTAGCCATGGTCGTCAGCCCAGGTATTTATGGCTTCCGCTGCCATGTTCGAGAATCGAATTGAGGTGCCTGTCGGTTGGCCGAGGACACTCCGGATTAACGGTGCAGGGAAATACCCATGTATCCCGATGGCCAATGCCCTTTTGATAGGGGGTGTATCCTTGACCATATGGACGTGTCTGCTGTTCAACTCTTTACCATAATGGAAGTATCGTCCTATTGTCTGCAAAAGACTGGGCTTTTCCTGCATAGCAAATGTCTCGTGAAACCTTGGTAAAACCTGATTGGGCAAGACTTTTCGCAATTGCTTTGAAGCCGCGGCTTCAGACGGTCCCGGTACCAGGTCATTGGGGCCTGCTTCTGGACGTAGTGTGGTTTTATCAGGTAATGCAGTGCTGCTCTTGTTATTCTTAAGCTTCACGCTTCCCTTTTTCGCAATCTCAGCCCTTGCTTCTGATTCCGGTTCGGCTTCAATGGTTGCTTTCTTCAAAGAGGCATCTGGCAAGATAGAGGCGCTAGCCACCTGAGAATCTTGTGGGCCCTCTTTATCAGGTCCCTTCGAAGACTCTTTGAACCAGAATGACCATCCAGAGGGCCTCGGGTCCTTCACAGGGGGTATCGTAGCGGGACTGCTTGCCCCTTGCGTATCTTGGTCTTGAGTTGGTGCAGGCTCCGTCTGCACGTCTTGCGTGGTTGGCTTATCCACTTCATCTGGAGGCTTGCTTGCAGGCTCTTCTGGCCCTTTTGTTGACGAACCGTACCACATTTGAAGCCAAGAACGTTTTAGAGTGTTCTGTGAATTATCATGCGCTTCATCAGGCTTATCCTGCTCCGGTCTATCTGGCTCCCTTTGCCCCTGATCCTCCGAGGTTGCCTGCTCTTCGTCTTTCAATACAGGGGGGTTCGCGGGCGATTCTTCACTGGGCTCCGGTGCACTGAGCTCTGGCACTGGGTCTGGCACCGGATCTTTTGGGGCAGGATTCTCGGTCGTTGACGGCGCATAGAACCATGAAAACCATCCACCCGTTTGGACAGTCGACGTTGGGTTTGCGTCAGCACTCTGCCGGTTATCATCTGTAGTAGACTCGGGAGCAGCACTCAATTGGCCCTTATCGGCGTCATCCGTAGCTATCACTGTCTCTTGGTCTTTCGATACTTCTTCCTCGGTCGGTTGCGTTGTTATGCCAGCCGGGCACGACTTAGCATCCTCTTCAGGGGTGAATGTAGTGCCATCAGAAGCTATGTTTATCTTCGTTGTCGCAGCATCGGCGGGAAGAGACCTGCTGGATGCGCCGACCTTCCGAGTAAGCTGGAGGGAGGGATTTCGAAATGATCTAGGGGAATCAAGCTGAGGAGTTGAGCGGGAAGTGAGTCGGGGTGCTAAGTTTTGAGCGGCGGAGATGCTCTCACGGGCAACCTCGGTAACGGGAGCCGCCTTGGATGCTCTGGAGACTGCCGGCCAGACAGCAGGATACCAACTCTGTGGTTTAAATGATACATTAGGTATACGGGACGGATGTAGACAAAGATACAGGGCTATTGAGAACCAAGACTCACCGCAGTGCTCCCCCTGTTCCTTGATTCTGCATGGTCTCCGCCTGCGGAAAGCGATGTAGCACCATCGTCGGACGCTGTAGGGGACTTGGAGTCCGCGCCGGGGGGGCTGGGCTTTACTCTCTTACGAGATCCCATCGACGGCATGAAAGCTTAAACAGTAACATCACCGAATGCGAGATGAGGTGCAGATCGAAGCATGGAAAAGCCTAAAGACCAAGTGAAAGGAGATGCTATGACGGGGGTAGGCCAGCAGACTAGCCACCAGCGATGGCAGCCGGAGGATCAGCGCGGGTCTTTGGTTGGTTATCAGCCAAATCGGGCCAGCATCACGCCTGACATCACGTCACATGCTCTCTGCTGACCGTCTTTGTTTGCCTCGCCGCCTCAGGCGGTGAACAGGTGTGGCTGGTGTGCTTGTGCTCCTGCACCGCCACATGCATCCGGGCTGGAAGGGGAAATTTTTATTTTTCGGGGCCGATGTGGAGAAGGCCAGGAAAGGATCCATCCAGGCCGCCGATAACTTTTTTTCCTGGATACATTCTCTTGTACCGCTCTCACCATTCCTACCCACTTGCATCCGCACTTCTTTGCTTAGCGGTTTCGGTTTTTCGTCGAGTGTGCCTCGACCTCCCATCTCTCAAGATGGCGATTCAGAAGAAGGTAATGCGGCATTGGTCTGGCTCGCGGCAATAGAAAACCCAGTACTGACAATGACTTAGCATGGTAAAGGTCGTTTGGATAAGTGGTATCGCCTGGCGAAGGAGAAGGGATACAGAGCGAGAGCTGCTTTCAAGCTGATCCAGCTGAACAAGAAGTATGGCTTTCTGGAGAAGAGCAAAGTCGTTCTCGATCTTTGCGCGGCACCCGGTGTGAGTACAACCCCTCAGTTTGATTTCTAACGCCCGGTCTGGTGGCTGACCATTCTCGCAACACAGTCGTGGTGTCAAGTTGCTGCAGAATGCATGCCCGCACAGAGTATCATCGTCGGTGTCGATCTTGCGCCTATTAAGCCGATTCCCCGAGTCATTACCTTCCAGAGCGATATCACGACCGAGAAGTGTCGCACAACAATCAGACAGCACCTGAAGCACTGGAAGGCTGATACCGTTCTTCACGATGGTGCCCCCAATGTCGGTACCGCATGGGTTCAGGATGCTTTCTCTCAGGCAGAGCTGGTGTTGCAGTCTTTGAAGTTGGCTACGGAGTTCTTGGCGGAAGGCGGTACATTCGTTACGAAGGTCTTCAGATCCAAGGACTACAATCCGCTTTTGTGGGTTTTCAAGCAACTTTTTGCATCCGTGGAGGCAACGAAACCCCCGTCTTCTCGAAATGTTTCCGCAGAAATCTTCGTTGTTTGTCGGAATTACAAGGCACCAAAGCGCATTGATCCGAAGTTCCTCGATCCTAAGCACGTCTTCGCAGAACTTGCGGACCCTACCCCCAACAATGAGGCTAAGGTGTTCAACCCGGAGAAGAAGAAGCGCAAGAGAGAGGGTTACGAAGAGGGCGATTATACGCAATTCAAGGAGATCCCAGTTACCGAGTTCATCAACACCACTGATCCGATTGCCATCCTGGGTTCATACAACAAACTCAGTTTTCAACAGTCACCAAGTGGCGACCTTGCTCTCGCCACACTGGAGAGACTGGAAGATACGACCGACGAGATCAAAGCCTGCTGTGAGGATCTCAAGGTTCTGGGTAAGAAGGAGTTCCGAAACCTGCTCAGGTGGCGACTGAAAGTGCGGGAGAAGTTTGGTCTCGCTGTGAAGAAGGGGGCCCAAACCAAGGAGGATGAGACTGAAGAAGTGGCGGAGGTCGCTCCCATGGATGATGAGCTGGCCATTCAAGAGGAGTTGATGCGCCTTCGTGAGAAGGAAACCTCAAAGCAAAAGAAAGAGCGCCGCAAGGAGAACGAGAGGAAGCGCAAGGAAATCGTCCGGTTACAGATGCACATGACGACCCCCATGGATATCGGAAAGGAGCAACTGGGACCTAATGGCGAGGATGCTACATTCTCGCTCAAGCGCGCCGAGAGAGGCGGAGTTAGGGACACCATTGCCGCCGGCCATGAAGCGTCGATTGAAAGTGATAGCGAGGACAGTGCTTCCGAGTCTGAGACCGAGGAGAGCGATGACGAGGAAGACCGTCTGGAGCGGGAACTTGACAACCTGTACGAGCAATACCAGGACCGCAAGGAAGACCGGGACACGAAGTTACGGGCAAAGAAGGCCAGGAAGGACTTCGAAGCCGACTCCTGGGACGGCTTTTCCGATTCTGACAAGGAAGAAGGTGAAGACTCCGATGATGAGGGTCTTGGAGTTAGCTCTGCCGTCGACAAAGCTCCCAAGTCAGCTTCCCTTTCCAACAGTGCCTCGCTATTCTTCGACCAAGATATATTCCAAGGCCTAGAAGACATTGACGATGTGGAGGACGAAGATGAGGAAGTGGAGGATGAAGATAGCGCCATCGAAGTTAAGGAGGATCGGCCTAAGGGCAAGGAGTCTGAAAAGAAAAAGGCAAAGGAATCGAAGAAACCTGTGCAGGCGATGGAAGACTCGGACGAAGAAGATCTTGAAGAGCTTGAGGATCCACGGAAAAAGAATGGACAGCTCGGTAAGTTCGCAGAATGCGGCATATCATTGCATTGTACCCTGGATAACTAATGCTGACTCTACTATGTAGATATCGATATCATCACTGCGGAAGCCATGGCACTCGCTCAGCAGATGGCCACTGGAGAGAAGAAGTCTCATGATGTGGTTGATGATGGCTTTAACCGATTTGCTTTCCGTGATAGTGATGGTCTCCCCGAGTGGTTCCTTGACGACGAGAACAAGCACAGTGTCCAGAACCGTCCTATCACCAAGGCGGCCGCAGCCGCAATCAAGGAGAAGATGCGCGCCATCAACGCTCGGCCCATCAAGAAGGTTATGGAAGCCAAGGGCCGCAAGAAGATGAAGGCCGCCCAGCGACTGGAGAAACTGCGCAAGAAGTCTGCACTTTTGGCAGATGACGAAGCTCTCAGCGAGCGTGATAAGTCGCAGGCCATTGCGAGGTTGATGAGCAGGGCTACCAAGAAGAAGCCCAAGCAGCAGGTGAAGTTGGTGGTTGCCAAGGGAAACAACAGGGGTATTTCTGGACGTCCTCGTGGTGTCAAGGGCAAGTACAAGATTGTGGATTCTCGTATGAAGAAGGATATCCGGGCTCAGAAGCGCCTTGCCAAGAAGAAGAAGAATTAGTGATGGGGCTTAGTTGTGGAACTCGAAGCGATCTTTTTCATCATTGTCCATGTATATACCCGGTTAACATTATAGATCTCTGTATCATATCCATGGTGAAAGGGGTACTACCTGTTATGGCAGACTGTAATGCGTTTCGATGGCCCGATGTAGTGCGGGATGGGTGGCCCTGGAGTCCTCTCTATTCTCTATTCTCCTAGATGAAGGTATGGCTTAGGACATGGATCTGTTTTCTCATTCAGGAATGCATATCAGCATATGGCAACACCGATCACACTGGCCAATATTCTGCTTATGACTACAGTACTAGTAGTGATACTATTCGCCTCTAAACTTAAGATGTAACACAGATGCATGGATATTTGTTAGATGATAGAACATAGTAAATAATGGCATTTCTTGAGAATCATAGCTTCTGCTCGTGTGCCTCTGACAGACACAGCATCATTCGGATATAATATGTATTCTACGAAAGTCTTATATATCGTTAGGCCATCCCGTACCAGGCGGGGGAAATCACGGTCCTGTCGGTTCGTCGTGTAGCCGTCTCTATGAGAACTCAGAGGCAGCGTTCATGGCTTCTGCTTCCCTACCCATTCTAGCCATCCAGCGATCAACGAGATCTTGGTTCTCTTTCTGCAGTCGGGATGACCGTTCTTCAGCCATATTCAGTTGAAGATTCAACGATGCCAGCTCGTCTTGGAAATCCTAAAGTGGTGTCAGCAACAGCAGAAGGAGTCACAAAAGGAGGTAACGGAGCAGCAAACCTCCAGTAGCTTTGCCTTCCCACGCAACTCTTCATCTCGATCCTTCAAACGTAGTTGAAGATGAGCAATCTCGGTTTCGAATAAGCGGATCCGTCTGCTATCCTGAGTGCTTCTCTTCCGCAGCTTCTCTAGGTCAGTGGTCATGCGTGTGAGCTGGTCCTGCAGTTCGGAGCGTGACCGCTGTGCCTCTGCCAGGTCTGCACGTGTTGCTAGGAGAGTCTCCTGTAAAGATGGGTCTTGTGCGCCTGCTCCTGTCGGCGTTTTGCTGGAGCGGGATGCTGAAGTGTCGGGTGGCACATGCTGCGCTTCAACCGGATCTGATCTCTGTGGGTTGCTAGCCGTTGCTCCTATGTGAACCGTGCGATCGGCCAGTTGGGTATCTAATGATTTTGGTCATAATAGTCAGAGAAGGGTCAGAATACTTCCGGGAATGTGAACTACCCCAGAAAGTGAGGGTGATCGACATACAAGCATCGTAGATAGCTATGCTGGCTTTCTCTCGTCGATCACGAGCCGCCAGCGCGGCGGAGTACTCCTCTTTCCAGTGGGCCATTTGATAGCAGTGATGATAAGGTGAGTCTATCTAGCGGACGGACGGCGGACCCCTCATATCATGGAGCCATGGTGATGCTCAGAGTCGCCGAGGTAGAGACGTATGGTTTAATGACACAAAAGCCCGCTATGTTTCTAAGGGACCAAGCAAGTTATACCACGGCGACATCAACCACCTGCACGCCATTGAAAGCGTGAGGGGAGCATGGGCTGCTTGTCACTGGCGGGTGGATGGGGCGCTGACCGCCATCTCCACCGCCCACGTCCGCGTGCATCATCGAAAGCCGCCGTCGCCGTTAGCTCGGCTCAGTTCACCGTCCAGGCCCAACCATCACTCTTCCTGTTTTGTTACTTGACAACAACTACCCGACTCGCTCGGTGTCTCTGCCAACAGACTGCATCCCTCGCTGTGCTGACGGGATTATATCGACCATCTCTTTGCTTTTCCCCCTCCTATAGACGTAGCTCGACTTGTCAATATACTCACAGCCCCCTCATATCTCCACCATGTCGTCACGGAAGAAGGTCTTGTTGAAGGTACCTCACCTCCCCGGTTCATGCAGGCCAAGCCGCTCTGAAGAATGCTTCAATTACTCACATAGCTTTCCGTATCTCTTAGGTTATCATTCTGGGTGATAGCGGCGTCGGTAAGACGAGTTTGATGAATCAATATGTCGGTGGCCTTATCTCCCAGCGATTCCTCGGATCCCCACTCACCCTCATCTCGCTCAACAGGTCAACAAAAAGTTCAGCGCAAGCTACAAGGCCACAATCGGAGCCGACTTTCTCACCAAGGAGGTTCTAGTTGATGATCGGCTGGTGACAATGCAGGCATGTTCTCACCCGCTTGCGCAGATGAACCGAGCGACTTTGGGAATTGGGAGTTAACCGTTTGTCAACAGATTTGGGACACTGCCGGACAAGAGCGATTCCAGTCCCTGGGCGTTGCATTCTATCGTGGTGCCGACTGCTGCGTTCTAGTCTACGATGTCAACAATTCCAAGAGTTTCGAGGCCCTTGACAGCTGGCGCGACGAGTTCCTAATCCAGGCTAGCCCTCGGGATCCTGAGAGCTTCCCTTTTGTAAGAGATTTTCTTTCTTTCAATCTAATCTGGCTTGGGCGCATGAGGTCTTAGGCTAGTAGACACGAGTACTGACTAGACTTTAGGTTGTGATTGGTAACAAGATCGATGTGGAAGAGAGCAAGCGGATGATCTCTTCGAAACGGGCTATGACGTTCTGCCAGTCGAAGGGCAACATCCCATACTTCGAAACAAGTGCCAAGGAAGCCGTCAACGTTGAGCAGGCTTTTGAAGGTTGGTTACTTATCCTGTCTACTCGATACAAATGCATAGCTAATCTCGCGACTCAGTTATCGCCCGGAGCGCTCTGGCACAAGAAGAGGCAGAAGAATTCAGTGGGGAGTTCAGCGACCCGATCAACATCCACCTTGATGGTGAGCGTGACGGGTGCGCTTGTTAATGACCCTTTTACTAGACATGCCTTGCGAACGATTCATATTTCTGCTTTAAGCCCGCTCCATTTTCACTGTACCCGCCTCCGAACGCTCCCAATTTTTGCTTGTCAGAGCACGTCAATGCCTCGTCCGAACTTTTGAGCTTGGAAGAGCGTAGCGGTTCTCTTGGGAACACCTACACTTATACAGTTATGGAGCTCCTCATGTGTTACGCTCCTTGTCTTGTGTTTGCCTGCCAATTCGCATGGGATATCCGTTGATGGTCTTGATTCTGCTTAATATTTTCCTCTTGCTTTTCTGGTACGAAGGTACTGTCATGTTCTGTAGGAGTCTGGAATACTACTGCTTATCTGCTGAAAGCTTGTACAGTATAGCCGACTAAGTAGGCAATTACCACACATCTAGTGTTGTATTACGCAAGACCTACATGCTTCATAGTCCAAATTCCCAATTAGAATCTGAGAAGCAAGGAGGACCTCGTTGGTCAAAGAACAAGTGGTATGGTGGAGAAGATCAGGATCGGCTAAGCGTCGCGTGCTTATCTCGGCGCATCTCGTGATGCTCGGCGTTATCAGCTCGGGTTACACCGCAGAGTCACTCCGCTCCCGGCTTCCCTCTCTCTTCCCCGGTGAATTCCCCCGACCTTGCTCCGTCCACGCCCCATTCTCTATTGCCTGCTGGAACAGGTGGTGCTTCCAACTTATACGGCCTTTTGTTTGCCCCCATGATCTACGACAGATCACTCGCGGTCCGGGGGGTCTAGTATACCTCGCATCGCGTGCGCCGGCGGGGAGATCTATAGAGCCTCGACTGACAGCGAGTTCATTCTCTTATCGCCCACTACTGACGGCCAGAGAAGGTACGTGGAAAGGTCTCGCAGCCATGGAAGCACCCGAGACCACAGAAGGCTCGGTTTTAGTCGGCGCCGCAAGACGAACATTGGGAATTTGCCTGTTGCTCGTCGTGGTATTTTTATGGACGGCCTCGAATTTCCTCGCCAGTGTATGTGCTTTGCTTCTCTCGACTCTTCACTCTATAATACATCCGGCACGGTGCTAATCTATTCTCTTTCTATGTACCACAGACGATATTCGCCGACGATACATACTCGAAGCCGTTTTTCGTGACGTACATCAACACCTCGATATTCATCCTTCCCCTCTTCACGATTCTCTTCCGTCGGCTCGTGAGATTATGGCGCGCAGGGAAACTCTACCGAATTCGCTCATTCAAAAGCCTATTGGAGCATCTTGATTCTCACGATACGAACGTCGAGGCACGGGGAATACTTAGTCACGATGCAAGTGGGGAGCATTGGCGCAGCGAAGACGAAGACCCTGAAACATGGGCTGCTGCTAGGTTCGATGCCGCATCCAGAGGCCAACAATCTAAGCTGGGATTAAAGGCGACAGCTAAATTGAGCTTCGAGTTCTGTCTGTTATGGGTAAGCATACGTCAACACTGAGTATCCATTTCGTATAAAATCTCAGAAAGCTAACGAGCACCAGTTCTCCGTAAGTACCAGCGATAAATAAAGCTATCCCTCCTTCTGCGGGGACCGGAAACTGAACCAACTAGGCAAACTACTTTGCAATGGCCTGTCTCCAATACACAACGGTAGGAAGCACCACAATCCTAACCTCAACAAGCGGTACGTTCGCCACCATCCCACCCTGCATCACCATTTCACCACCCAACACTAACCCCCAAATCCAGGAGTCTGGACCCTCATCTTCGGCGCCCTAATCGGGGTCGAGCGCTTTACCATCCGAAAGCTCATTGGAGTCATTGCCTCTTTAATCGGCATAATCCTCATCTCCCGCGTCGACATGTCAACCCCCGACAACCCCAGCAACAACAACAACAGTAGCAGCGGAAGCGGAAGTACCTTCCCCTCCAAAACCCCAGGCGAGATCGCCCTCGGCGACGCAATGGCCGCATTCAGCGCCATCCTATACGGTGTTTACACCATCGTGCTGAAAAAGCAAGTGGGGGACGAATCCCGCGTCAACATGCAACTATTCTTCGGATTAGTAGGACTATTCAACACGGTCCTCCTCTGGCCGGGCTTCATCATTCTTCACGTTCTCGGTATAGAAACTGTAGGAATGCCTGATACGGGAAGAGTCTGGACGATTATCTTGGTACGTTTTCTCCAACCGCCAACCCCTCCACACTAAACCCTTTCTCACACCAACTATACAATACCCTACCCAATAACTAATACCAACGCTAATGCAGGTAAACGCCCTCGCCTCCCTCGCCTCCGACATCGCCTGGGCGTACGCAATGCTTCTCACCACGCCACTAGTGGTAACAGTGGGACTAAGCTTGACGATCCCGCTCTCGCTGGTAGGCCAGATCGTGCTTCAGGGACAGTACGCGAGCGCGTTGTACTGGGCTGGGGCTACGGTGGTGTTCTTGTCGTTTTTGGTGGTCAATCAGGAGAGTCGGGAAGTGGATGGGGAGGGGCCTGTGGTGGTTGGGAGAGGAGGGGCTGGTAGTGGGTATGAGGCTATTCCGGGGGATCGTGGTAATGCTTATGGAAGGGATAGATGATAAGTACTCCTTACCTACTATGGAGGTGTTAGTTCGTTAGAGAGGTAGGAGGTGAGGGACTTGCTTTACTACTATTTTCTACTGGGGGTGTGTTTGTGTGATGGTTGGGATGTGAAAAACATCTAGCTAGAATGGGACTAAATAAGAAAGATAAGATGAGAATGTTATCATTCTGATAGTTAAACTAGAAATGACAAAATGTGCTGATGCTTGAAGCACGTAGAGCATTATTGGTACTAAATAGGATTACATGACCACAGCGACACAAGGAGTGCCATGTGGGACGAATGGAAGTGAGAAGAAATACATGAAGAACAAGGCTGGAAAATCCGCACCACTTCTCATGTCATCCAGGACAATTGAGCAATACGCGAGACTAACCCAACTCGTAACATGCCTTACTCGCTCGGGTCTCAACATCTCGTACAACCAGTTAAAGAAAATCACAAGACATTAAGACAGTATCATGAAGAACATTGGGTATGTATCATCAAACAAGCGCAAGTGTGAAATAATAGAATACCTGCAAGTATGGAAACAACAAAGGAGAGTAGTCGGGTAAGAAGTGAAGTAGACTAGCCAGAATCCAAGTGAAATCAAGAAAACTTCAAGGAGTGTATAGAAGGGGCGGAATCCGAAAGGCTCCGGGATATGTTATACAGTGGATATCTTTTAACGGAGGCCTGCTGCTCCGGGCGCAGGCTCCAGTTTCTTGCGGGCGACGAGAATACTCTTCAAAGCACCTAGCCACTTTGCAAGAGATTCTTCATCAGGCGCACATAGTCGATACGACTTCTCTTCTGCGATGATTTGGAGACAGAAATGTTTTGAACGTGACATAGGATCGACTTCAGCAGCGTCAATCACCTGTGCCATGGGAATGACTTTGACGGCAGAGTATTCCTTGAGGATCGGATGGTCAGTCATGCAAGCTTGCCCAAAGGGTATAGATAGAATGGGATGCTAGGGAACAGCACAATAACCAAATCCATACCTGTTCATCTTTGTAGAAACCAAGGCTTTTCGGGCGCAGCACAACCCACAGTCGCTTCCATTGGCGCATAGATCCCTTGATTTTGAGGCACTGAAGATACCCATTGCATACAACTCTCTCCGGGTCACGTAGGACTGCGGACTCGTTGCGCGGTATTGAGGAATGCCCGTCGCTGTGAACTGATGCAGGTTGGTTCTGAATGGAAGGCGAAGTCATGCGAACGCCGTTGTTGCTCCCAGGCCCATCGGACCATTCCGAATATGACGTGATGTCATTGCCCGAGTGATCATGAGGCGAGGCAAAACGCCTCGAATGGTAAGTAGGTGACAATGAATCCCCGACTTCCGGCGAGCTTGGTCTTCCGCGCTGATCAAAATCGGAGTGATCAGTGGTGTCATAGATGCGGCGCTTGTTGTTCCCGGCGGTGTCGCTATTCTTTGATAAGGCGAGGAAGGCCTCTTCGTCTTCATCCATGCGGGTTTCTGATCGGATATGTCTAATCCAGTCTTCGGCATCTTTTTCTGAAGACGACTGGAAACGATAATTCTTTGAAGGAGAGAAAACGCCAAATACGTACTGTCGGTTGGATCGGGGCGACCTGACCGACGCAACTGCCGTGACCTCAGACAATGTGATAGAGGCTCGGAGCCTTGTAGCCTCCTCATCCTTGTATACCGACAAAAGGTTGGGACGTAAAACGAGATACGCAGGTTTCCAGGAGGCCCTAAATGCCTAGTTCGACAGAGTTAGTTCTAGACCGGGCTTGGCTGAAGGCGCAAATGACTAACATGTTTGTGCTTCACGCGACGAAACACCTTCCCAGTCTTCAGGACCCGATCGAATTCAAAGCTTCCATTTTCATTGACAGGCGAGAAAGTGTCCAAGTTGACGTGACCGCTGCGATAGTGAGCGGATTGATTATTCGGGACTAGAAGCGCCGACGTCTGAACGGTGCCATCGGGTAGCTGGATCGCGGGAGCCTTGGGATTCCCTTCTGCAACCGGTGCGTATGATGTGGGAATTGGTTGACTCATGATTATAAGAAGCTCGTACTAGTATCCAAGATCTGTGTCGAAAATAACTGTCGTGTGCAAGTGGAGTTCGAACGGCGCGCGAGCGGGGAGAAGGAGTGTATAGCGCTATCTATACCGGCTGGACGGCACACCGGGACGGCGTCCACTTTTTAAGACACTGTAACGAGAATAGATCGATATATAGTGAGTGGTAGTGGTCGGCAAGATTAGAAGAAGGTAGGCAGAAGTATTCGCCAAGTAGTATCTGGCTGCTGACGATTAGAGTCGGTCGCGGCCGACAGGGTCATGGAGGCTGTGCCGAAAGGAGTGGTGAGCGGGTGGGAAGCGACGACGGGGGAGAAACGAGGGAATGCGATGAAGTAACGGAGCGTTCGCCGTGACGACAACCAGTAAGTAGGTTCACACAGAATAGAGAAGTAGCATGACTCTAGTAAAGGCGCGAATCCCTCACCAAACGGATCCCAAGGGTCGGAGAAGAAAAAGGGGATCCTTTCGGGGACGAAGAGAGATGAGGAGAGAGGGGGCGGAGGTAAGTTCTTTTTTTAATTTTCCCAATTCAACGGGACGCATGGACGTTTTTTTGTTTTGGAGATCATCTGGGTTTAGTCCCGTTGGAAGCTGGAACCTCGACCCTCGACCGGCTTTCTCCCCTGCCGTTTCACCTTCGCGCCTTCTGCCATCCTTTTCGTCGCATTGACTGGTTTCTTCCCCCCCTTCCTTGACTGCAAAACTCCCTTTATGAAACCCTTTGTTGATTCAGTTTGAAGGGAAGGGGGAAGGGGGAGGAA